ATTTTTTGTATAATATGATGTTATGGGGTAGGACTAGATAAGTCTGACTTCTTCCTACTCCATTCAAACATGTACTAGGTGTAAGCAAACTGATTTTGGATTAGCATTGGTTGATCTGTGTAATTATGTGTGTGTGTGTTGCTGTCATTTGTACTGTTCTGCATGTTTGAAAGAATAAATCAAAATCAAAAATCAAAAATCAAAATCAAATCAAAATCAATCAATTTAGGGCTGCCATATGGATTTGTTGGAACAATGAAACAGGAGGCAAACTTGTATTTCTGTTGAAACTATGCTCTGATTAGCATTTTTTCTTCTGAAACATGGTTATAGCCTAATTTACCCACAAGTCTGAGCTTCTCCTGTCAGTTAAACACACCGCATGTTAATGTGCGTTTGAGGCGTGCTCTTATTTATAATTACTCATGGAAATGTACATCCGTGTATCGAACTGTGTCACCGTTGAAGTGGGTGGATGTCAGTGTAAAGAAAAAACTCAAAATGACAAAAGATCCAATACAAAGTTTTCATACACAGAGCTCATTGGACATTGCTGTTAACGACATCAAGTCTGCATTTGATTTCTTCCTGTTCACTACAATCAGCATAGCAAGCATCATGGTGGTTTCAGCAGAACTAACGGGACCAGGAATTTTGACTGCAGGGAGAATAAGGATGTCACATTTCTGCACGTTTGATGCTGTGTTCTGTTTCTTCAGCAGGTGTATGATTAATCAGTCTCTCTACCACTGTCAGTTTTGTTGCACATATCGAGTGTTGACGTCTGTAAAATGCGATCTCGTGTCTGTGTGGGACGGGAAAGGAGCAGTGCTCATAGACACACACAAAACTGAGAATCTGAGCTCACAGTCTGCTTTACTTTTGTTGTCATCACTGATCTTAAAATAACCCAAACCGCTGAAATTTTTTCTCTGCTGCTTAACGAGTGGCTCAGCCAACATGAAGTTAATGCTGCCGTTAACTGGTATTGGTGCGTAGTATCGGACAACTTTTACAAGCACGAGTACAAGTACTAGAGTGGTATCGGCACGGGTGCATCCTTAGGATAAAGTCTGCACTGCACACCTAACTGTCAGTTATCCTCCTTTTTGCAGGTACTCTTGCTTGCCTATTTTCTATGAGCTTTTACACATCTTGTGTAGCTGAGCACAACCTCTTTCAATCTGAGTGAGTTGGCTATAGCTTATCACCATTTTTATTTATAATGACTGTAGCCCACAGTCACAAACTTGTAAAATCAGCACAAAACACAATACAGTTAATCTAAACTCACACTGTTTGTTTGATGTACACCACCAAGATCTCATTCTGAAGATTCTCTGAATCCTGATACAAGTATTTTTGTACTAAAGTAGCCATGTGTAGGGATTCATTATTATGACCAAATATGTTTTCTACAAACAATTTACAAATGAAAGATTTGGTCAATCTTAGCGCACTACACTTTGAACTGAAACAAAAATAATGACTTCTTAGCAAAAAAAAGCCTCATCTAGAGACCTCACTCACCAATACAAAGGTTCAAACCATAATGAAACCATATTTGTTCCCCGCAATACTGGTCAGGCAGAAATTTTATCAGAACTGGAAGACATTTTCAAGAATATACAGTGCCTTGCGAAAGTATTCGGCCCCCTTGAACTTTGCAACCTTTTGCCACATTTCAGGCTTCAAACATAAAGATATAAAACTGTAATTTTTTTGTGAAGAATCAACAACAAGTGGGACACAATCATGAAGTGGAATGAAATTTATTGGATATTTCAAACTTTTTTAACAAATAAAAAACTGAAAAATTGGGCGTGCAAAATTATTCAGCCCCTTTACTTTCAGTGCAGCAAACTCTCTCCAGAAGTTCAGTGAGGATCTCTGAATGATCCAATGTTGACCTAAATGACTAATGATGATAAATAGAATCCACCTGTGTGGAATCAAGTCTCCATATAAATGCACCTGCACTGTGATAGTCTCAGAGCTCCGTTTAAAGCGCAGAGAGCATCATGAAGAACAAGGAACACACCAGGCAGGTCCAAGATACTGTTGTGGAGAAGTTTAAAGCCGGATTTGGATACAAAAAGATTTCCCAAGCTAAACATCCCAAGGAGCACTGTGCAAGCGATAATATTGAAATGGAAAATGGAAGGAGTATCAGACCACTGCAAAGCTACCAAAAATTGATGGGAAGATGGATGGAGCCAAATACAGGACCATTCTGGAAGGAAACCTGATGGAGTCTGCAAAAGACCTGAGACTGGGACGGAGATTCGTCTTCCAACAAGACAATGATCCAAAACATAAAGCAAAATCTACAATGGAATGGTGCACAAATAAACATATCCAGGTGTTAGAATGGCCAAGTCAAAGTCCAAACCTGAATCCAATCGAGAATCTGTGAAAAGAACTGAAAACTGCTGTTCACAAACGCTCTCCATCCAACCTCACTGAGCTCGAGCTGTGTTGCAAGGAGGAATGGGCAAAAATGTCAGTCTCTCGATGTGCAAAACTGATAGACATACCCCAAGCGACTTACAGCTGTAATCGCAGCAAAAGGTGGCGCTACAAAGTATTAACTTAAGGGGGCTGAAGAATTTTGCACGCCCAATTTTTCAGTGTTTTATTTGTTAAAAAAGTTTGAAATATCCAATAAATTTCGTTCCACTTCATGATTGTGTCCCACTTGTTGTTGATTCTTCACAAAAAAAT